AAGTAATCTTGTTGCACCACTCTTACTTTAAAACCATATTGCTAATGATATTTGCGATTCTATCATGTCAGTGGACTACTGCTCCTGGAATTATTATATATTTTGTTCCTTAATAAGTACACAAAATTCAGGAGTCGTTACTAACTGCAGTATCTGTTACTATCATCATAAGTCATATTAAAGTTGTACTGTAAAGCTTATAATATTCAGCACACTAAAGGAGAAGGGTCTCTAATATTCTTAGCATTTTTAAAGACATAATTATGAAATTAGGCAGTTTATATCTGACTTGGCACTGAAATGTCAAGGGCAAAACTTACCAGCTATTTTGGCAAGTTTACTTCTGCTTTAGATGGTATTTAAAAGACAGTTGTATGAGTTTTAATTAGGTATGATATTAAAAAGTATTTAAATCTCCTATTCTATAGTTGAAGGAAAAGAGATCATTTAGATCATAAAAGGGTATATTTCTCAAAGGAATTACTGTGGGCTATGTAGCTATCTGCAAGCCAACTGGAATTACTAGTTCTAGGATGTCAAGAGATTGATACACTTGACTAATTAGGAAGCCAGTTGGGACCGGTGACAGCAGTCTGCAGCAGCTTATGAAAGCCGATTTAAAGGTCCCATAGGAAGTGTTAATATTGAACAATATTTTCAACTCTTATACTATCACTGTAGCAACATTGTATGCAGTTCTCCCAGAGCAATTTAAAAGATTTCTAAAATACTGCAAGGTACACTTGCATTTCTTAAACTTTCTATCATATAAACTTGGACAATATTATAGATAGTATGGGTATTAATAACTAGCTGTGTAACTTCATAGAAGGTGTCACAGTCAACTGTTGGTGTAGGCATCAAAAAACAGAATTTGGAGCCTAACTAAAGGTGTAGAAATTTGAAAAACAGGCTTTCTGCATGTTTTGGGTACATAGATTATTAACTATGAATTCTTTTTTTTTTCCAGTGCTTAACTTTATTCAATACATCCATGCATATAGGAAAACTACTAGAGGAGTTTTTAAACTCAAGTTTCTAAATACTCCATTTATTCTTCTGTTAACTGTTTCGCATGTCAATGGAAGCACTAATCTATAATCTAGTTTGTGACTACAGTATATTTCAGATAAGTATGAAAAACAGATAGTACCCATAAATATGTAGCTATGCTAGAAAAAGTTGTGGGTCTGCAGTATTTCTATTTCGTTATTTAAAATCTTTTTTTATTTATTTGATGGGTCTTTTTATAGTATAGCAGATTATGCACCAGGACTTTTTTCTATTGAAACTGTTAAGTTTTTGAAATAACTATGAAATCCATAGTAGTCTTGGGTAGGCTTAAAAGGAAAGAGATGACATGCTGAAATAGGATTGAAATTTTTCTTCTGTTATTCCTACTTCCTAAAACAAAGCTTTTAAACTCTTTTCCATAAACATTTATGGTATCATTTTGCGGACTGTGATATTATTCAATCTTTTTTTGCATTACTATTACCCAAAATGCTTAGAAACTTTCTTCCAACATTCACGTACCTTAATGTAACTAATGACTTGGCTTCAAAATTTCTTCAAGCATCACTTTGGTTTGAAAATATTCACTGAGTGTTTTCATTCCAGACATGAGTATTTTAGAGAATTGCATGACATCAGGTGGAGAAAGGAAAGTTAAAAAAACAAAACAAAACAAAAAACCAGGAAGCTGAATACATAATCTGGGTAATTTTTTGTAAGGTATATTCCAAGCCATATTAATACCTGTGATAGTCCATTAGTCATAAGAGAGCAAACTTCAGCATAATAAAGCATGTTATACCAAATGCAAAGCAAGAGAAAAATATCTATTTCAGTCTTCATGTTTATTCTATATCTGCCATGTATTATACAGAAAATAAATGTACTTAAATGTTATGAAAATTTATAAAATATTTGCTAATTTTCCATTATTTCTTTTTGTGTATAGCTCTTTTGTATAAGGTTTTTAAGTTAACTAGTCTGGTAAGACAGAGTATAGAGAAAAGAGAACAAAAGGTTACTGTTCGCTGGGTCAAAAACTGGCTGGATGGCCAGGCCCAAAGACTGGTGGTGAATGGAGTTAAATCAGTTGGTGGCCGGTCACAAGTGGTGTTCCCCAGGGCTCAGTACTGGGGCCAGTTCTGTTTCATATCTTTATCAATGATCTGGATGAGGGGATTGAGTGCACCCTCAGTAAGTTTGCAGATGACACCAAGTTGGGTGGGAGTATTGATCTGCTTGAGGGTAAGAAGGCTCTGCAGAGGGACCTGGACAGGCTGGATCGATGGGCCAAGGCCAACTGTATGAGGTTCCACAAGGCCGAG